GAGGCATAGGAGCAGGGTTTAGCATGAAAGCTGGCCACCTCAGAAGCAGCATTTGGTGCTGCTCTCAGCTTCTTCTTCCCTGGAAAAGAGGCGTGGGACACGGAGAGAAACGACACAGAGCATGTTATTAAGCTGCCAGCCCAGGAAGGTGGTGAGGCCCAGCTCCCTTTTGGGCTCCTGCCCACAGTTCAGAAGTTGCTCTGTGAAGCTGACCTTGATGGGAAGTGACAGGCCGGGCTGAGCTGATGTTCATCTGCCTGCAAGGGGTGCAGGAAGATTGACAGGAGTGGAGATTTCAGTGGGGGGAGGGAGAAACATCCAAAGCCTTTGTGGGCAAAGGGCAAGGAAGCCTTTATCTCCTTCATCCTGGGGCCTCTCCTGTACCTGGTGCTTTTCCAGCTACATGAGGAAGCGCAAGCAGGGCTCCCTCTGGGAGGAGGACAGCTGCGAGTCAGGAGCCCCCCCCCCCCCGAGAGGGCAGGATGGCCCTTCCCCAAAAAGGACTAAAAAATGAGCTCTAACTACCAGTGAGAGAGGAGGAGCCTTCCCATACTAGGACTGCTTATTGCATATTCATTACATATCCAAGCATGTGTTTCTTTATTCATTACATTTATATATTGGGGTGTTAGGGTAGAACATCTGGTAGGGGAAACATCATGCTCCTTCTGGGGTAGTTTGTGTTAGGATATTTCCGTTCCACCTTAAAAGGGAGCAGGCTTTGTGAGTCACAGAGTCTGCGTATTTCCTGTTCACAGGAAGTTTATATTTTGTCTATTGCTTTCGTTTTCTCTCTGTGCCTGAGACATCAACGCAGGCAGCCATGTTTTCTTTGTTCTGACCAACGCTGAATAAAGTTGTAAATAATGCTCTACTGCGTGCGTCTTTCGCTGTGCGAACTCTGCTGATAGAGCGTGCACCAGCTCTGGAATGTGGCAAGCTATTTCTGGAGCTCGTGTCGCTAATTGAATGATACTGCGTGTCTACGGGAGATCGATGGATCGCAATGGAGACGGCTTGGGGGCATGATGGCCTTTGTCTCCCTGGCAGTATCCCAACAGTTTGTCCACCTTTGGTCCTCCGCGCCTGCCCACCCGCCACCCACTGCCCTTCGGCTCTCACCTGTGGCTCCTAGAAGCTGTTAGCATGCCACAGCAGCCACAATCTTGGGAACGGCTTTGACTGGCCAGCTAAACCAGGGGAGGAGAGCCGATGGGTCTCAAATCCTTGGGACGTTAGGGACTTCCCTGCATGCAAAGACAGGCTCTGGCAGATGGATCGGATGAGAGAGACCAAGAGCAGGTCCAACAGTCAGGAAGGGGAGGGAAGTGTTGTGGAGGGAAGTGAGGGGCAGATGGGGCTTGTCCACCTGGAAAGGGAGCCCATCTAGGAGAAGAAAAAGTCTGATCCTAAACCTCCTTTGCCTTGTGGGATATCTTCAGGAGCAGAAAGGACTAAGGAGGCAACCTTCCACAAATCCAGAGTGGAGTCCATAATTTTTCCCAATCATCCATTTGTATGTTGTGTCCTATACCTTGTGCCCATTTAATTGTTACAGATTTGACCTCTTCATCTTTAGTCTCCCATTCTAATAATAAATTACACATTTTCTTTAAGAGTTTATTATTATCATCTACAATTCCTCTTTGAAATCTAGATATGATATATCCAAATCCTTTCTTACTATCTTCTTTAAAAACCTCATATAACTGACGATCATGAATCATGAATGTGTTCTCTTATCTCATCATAATCCTTAAGTTTTAATTTCCCTTCTCTTTCTATCTGCAAATCTCTATGTCAGCCATTTCCCTTCCATATTTATCTTTTTAATTGAAATTGCTTCTGTTGGTGTAGCACCCTGCTTGTGGTTAACGCTTAGCTGGAATGAAATATTCAACGCAGCAACAGAGAAATTAAATAATTATTTATTTGTCAGACAAATAAATGAGAGGCACAGTGGTATATGGTTACCAAGCTCTGGCCTGGCCTCCTGCCATTATGGCCAGCACTTATATTCCCTTAATCCAGCCCCCTTTGCTCCTCCTGTGGCTGCCTCTGTCCCATCAGCCTGGTTGAAATTCCTATTGGCTGATTGGTATGACCAATCACAAAAAGATATACCCATATCCTCCTGTCCTTATATGGAACACAAAGAGCTATATATTGTTACATCTATAAATGACAAATAAGTATTAATATATCTTACATGTGTCTCAACAAGGAATCTTAATTACCAGCTCACCTCTTGCCCTCCTTGCCCTACTGCCTTCTAAAACAAATGGTTAATCTTAAATTTTTATCTTAAACATATGTCAAGGATCTTGAGTTTCACATCAACATTGAAAGATCTCCTTCATTTGAAGGTTTCTAAACAAATGTCTGACAACTTATATATCAGGATTGCTCGGATGGCGTCTTCTTGTCTGGCAGGGGGCTGGGCTCAATGGCCCCTGTGGTCTATTCCAACTCTAGGACTCTATGATTCTATGAAATAAGAATCTAACATCTAAATTTGTTACTTTCTAAATCCTTTGCATAGTTACATTTAAACCAATATATTTAAGCTAATATATTTCATACATTATCATAGGTAACCTTTTAAAAGAATAAAGCTTCTCAAAGTAGAAAGGAAGGAACAGTTTACAGCCTCAAAATAAAATAGGAAATAAGCCTCTTCCCCTGTTCACACTCCCCCCCCTTCTCCAGCCAGTTGCTTGTTTTCCATGTGCTCTTGACCTTTTGTCCTGTGGCTCAAGTTTAAGGCACATGGTTTTATTTTACTGTTTACTAACTCTTAATTATGTTGGGTCCGTAACCTTGCTCTTTAACCTGTAATTCCCCCCTTTCACGACTTTGAGAATTGTTTTCTGCTATAAATCAAGGGGCCCCTTGTCTAGGAGGAAAACATTGCCAAGGTTCTCTATAAACAGCTGGCCTTCTTGCCTGGCATGAAACATTTGAAAATCTAAGCCCATTTAATTTAGGAACCTGATCAAATATAAGCCAATATATGCCTTGATTAAAAATGCAGTCTATATTCAGATGCCACATTGGGGCGACCCACCACAGAGTTTATTGTTCTAATAAATCTTTATATTTCCCCCATACTTTTATCAATGATTTCCTGATTATATGATTATGAAAAGCTTTATGTACTTTTGCTTTATTATACCATAAGTACACATGCCAACCAAATCTATTATCATGTCCTTCCAGATCCAGTAAATCGGTATTTTCTAATTTAATCCAATCCCGGATCCAAGTAGCGCAGCTCACTTCATAATAAAGTTTGAAATCTGGAAGGGAGAATCCTCCTCTATCTTTAGTATCTGTTAATATTTTATGTTTTATCCTTGGTTTCTTCCCTTTCCAGATAAATTTAGAACTATATTTTCGCCATTTCTTGAAGCAGACTGTGTTGCTTATTACCAGTATTGTCTGGAATAAAAACAACATTTTTGGCAATGTGTTCATTTTAATTGCTGCAATTATTCCTAATAATGATAAATTCATTCTGCCCCATATTTCTAGATTCCTTTTTAACTCATTCCAACATTTTCATAATTATAAATATTGATATTTCTGGTTGTTAGCCAAATTCCTAAATATTTAACCTTTTTACGGGTTTCTATTTCTATGGTTTGAGATAATTCCTTTTTATCCTCTTCTGTTAGATTTTTAACTAATAACTTGGTCTTACTTTTGTTTAATGTAAATCCTGCTACTTGCCCAAACTCTTGAATTCTTTCTAACACTGTCAGAAGAGTGTTTTGGGGATCTTCAACTGTAATTACCAGATCGTCTGCATAGGCTTTCAATTTATATGACTTTCCCCCTACTTTAATTCCTTTAATGTTTTCATCTGCCCTTATGTTTCTCGCCAGGACTTTCAGGACTAAAATAAATAATAAAAGTGATAGCAGACATCCTTGTCTTGTTCCTTTTTGTATTTTACATTCTTCTGTTACCACCTGATTGACAATTAATTTCGCTTTTTGATCTGAATACAGTGATACCTCGGGTTAAGTACTTAATTCGTTCCGGAGGTCCGTACTTAACCTGAAACTGTTCTTAACCTGAAGCACCACTTTAGCTAATGGGGCCTCCTGCTGCTGCCGCACCGCCAGAGCACAATTTCTCTTCTCCTCCTGAAGCAAAGTTCTTAACCTGAAGCACTATTTCTGGGTTAGCAGAGTCTGTAACCTGAAGCGTATGTAACCTGAGGCACCACTGTATATAGCTTGGATTCCTTTTCTAAAATTTTCTCTGAAATTCATTTCTTCAAGTCCTTTTTTTCATAAATTCCCAAGAGACATTGTCAAATGCTTTTTCAGTGTCACAGGTATCACACTTCTGCAGGTATGCACACAAAAGCTCATACCAATAACAAACTTAGTTGGTCTCTAAAGTGTGGAATTTGCTGGCAAGGAGTGTGGTGGAGTCTCCTTCTTTGGAGGTCTTTAAGCAGAGGCTTGACAACCATATGTCAGGAGTGCTCTGATGGTGTTTCCTGCTTGGCAGGGGGTTGGACTCGATGGCCCTTGTGGTCTCTTCCAACTCTATGATTCTATGTGTTACTGGAAGGATTTTTTAAATTTTGTTATAAACATCAATGCTGCTTGTTTTTCATTTCTCATTTCCAGGTATTCTATAATATCTATAATATTTCTTATATTATCCTTAATTTGTCTACCTGGAAGAAATCCTGCCTGATCATGGTGTATGTACTCTTCCAATACTGTTTTCATTCTATTGGCCATTATGTTAGCATTATGCTAGCCGTAGGCGGAGGCGGCTGGGGAGCTCGGAGGGGCGGCGCGTCGGGTTCGCCCAGCCCTGCGCAGCGCAGCGCAGCCACCCGCCCTCGGCGGCCAGCGGCTCCCTGCGCTCGGGCAGAAGGAGGAAGCGCACGATGGCGGCGGCGGCGACCTCCTCCTCTTCCTCTCCGGCCGGGGGCCGGCGGGGGGCGGGCGCGGCGGGGGGCGGCGGAGGCGGCAGCCGGGGGGCGTCGGGGGGCTCGGCGGCCGCCCTGCGCGCCTTGACGCCCTCGTCGCTGCTGCTGCTGCCCGCCGAGGCCGAGACGCGGCAGCGCCTCCTGCGCAGCGCCAAGAAGGAGGTGGGTGCGCGCTGCTTGCCCCGCGGGGCAGCGGGGAGGGGGGCACCACGGAGGGGGGGCAGGGCTCGTTCGGTAGCTTTGCATTTGCGCGCTGGGGGGGTGTTGGGGCTTTTGGGGGGTGCGACTGAAGAGTCTCCTGCCTTTAGCTCCATGCGCTTGACTCATCCTATTCAAGGCGGGGGCGGGGGAGAGTAAAGCAGCGTTTCCCATTTCCCCCCTTTTGGGGGGCTTTAGACTGAGAGAGGAGATTTCCTCCCTCCTCTCAGGAAGAAGAGACCTGGCCAGCTGCAAATGGACATGGGGGGGGGTTGTTACCCCAAAGAGCAGATCAGTTTGTTCAAAAAAGGAAAGCGAGGCAATGCAGGAAGGGATGCAAAACTCTCCAGATTTGGGGGGGGCATGTCACTCCTTCCCCATTTTGTCCTGCATGTGCAGGGTTACCCTGTCATAGTGGTCCTTGCAGTCTTCACATGCTCAGAGACCTTGCTCCTGTCTCCCATGCTCCCCTTATTTGGGGCAGGCCATGGCAGCAAGGTCACCATGGAGGCGCACAGATGAGAGGTGGCGTGGAGAGGCGACCAGTTGTTGGGCATCGCAGGTGGTGCTGGGGCCCGTGGGGGGCTTCCCGCAGGTATCTGGCTGGCCACTGTGAGAGTCAGGTGCTGGACATCTCTTCCTGATCCAACAGGACTTAAGTTTAAGACGACACTAGTCCCTGGGGCAAGATGAGATAGTAGAGGTAAAGGGAGTCTCTGAGGACACACAGAGTGGCTTTCCCCCATCTGGGGACAACCCTTCCTCTCTAGTCTGGAACATGTCCTGGGGAAGATGGGCATCGCTTGCTTATTTATTATCTTTGTTGCCTTCAGCGTTATTGGAACATGAAGAATTTCTCAAGGTCTCTGGCAGCATGACATCTGGACCTGTCTGCCTAGCCGATGAACATTCCTAAGGGTTCAAGACCCTTTCATCCTCCCCCTCATCCCTCCCCCAAGGATCAGAACTGAGATGGCTCTGATTTTGATTTCCCGCCCCCTGCTCCTCCAATCTTTCCCATGTGGTGCTAAAAGAGTTGCTGCTTATGTAAGTCTAGTTCTGGATTGTGCAGAGCCCACAGCCTGGGAGGTGTGTGTGGCTGGTACTGGGCTACCCCTTTGCAGCTCCCTCTCACTGCACATTCACTTGTGCTGCTCTTGGGAGGGGAGCTGCAGGCTGGCTGGCGTGACCCCATGGGGAAGTTTGGCTCCGTTGCGCCCATTAATTGAATTCTGGCATCATCTGTTGCTGCGTCCTGACAGACCCATCAAGGACAAGATGAACAAGAAGAGGTCACTGCATTCGTTTGCCAAGGCCTGATGCTTCTCCACTTCAAAGCCTCTCCTGTGTTTTCTTTTGTCACGGACTGGAGCAAAGCCCTTGCTGGGGGCTAGAGAGACCAGGGGCTCCCGCTGCCTCTCATCGGAATCCAGAGAGCCCACTGGTCCATCTAGCTCAGGACGGTCCATGCCAGGGATGGGGAACCTCTGCATGAGGTCTCCCTGGCCAACCCTCTTTGCAGGCTGTGCCCCTCACCAGCCCGGCTCCATGCCCACCATCCTTTGGCCCGATTGGGATGTGTCCCCTTCAACTGGGAGCCTGGATGGAGAAGTGCATGTAGGGAAACCTCCGTGCAGATCCACATGAGGCACATTTTAAAAAGTGACTTCCCCCAAAGAATTCTGGGACCTGTAGTTTGTTAAGAGTACTGGGAATTGTAGCTCTGGTGGGGAGACACAGCACTTTCCAGGATACTTTGCAAGGAAGTCATGTGCTTTAAATATATACTGTGGATTTGCCCTTAGATTTTGGCATGGCTGGGATGAAACCTCCTGTGCACGTCAACTACTAGGCCCATTTTTCTTTCTGGCCTCTGCTCAACATAGTGGTCTCCCATGGGGCAGGGTGGTCTTGGGGCTGCTCCACCCTTTCCAGCTGACACAAGGAGCAGCTGCTCTCCAGGCTCTGAGGCAGGGATTGAACCTGGGACCTTTTGCTTGTGAGGCAGGCACTCTGTCCCTGAGCCACAATGCTTCCTGCTCCTCCTACAGCCTCCCCTCCTGCCATGTACCAAGCCATAGGTGCTGTGCGCCTCTTCCTGTGAGCCTGAGAGAGCTGGAGTCTGCATAGGGCTTTTAATCAGCAAGCCACCGTGATGATGGTTATGTAAGTGCCAGAGATGAGTTTCATTCAGGCTGCCTCACAGGGAGGGACCAGGATGTGAAAGGCAAACTGGGCTGGGATGTGAACTGTGGCACATGGGGAACATGTCACAAACCTTGGATGGTGATGTTCTCCAGGCCGGACTGCCTTGTATCTCCTTTGTTGGGGTGTAAGTTGTGCAAGAAATAAGAAATATGAGCACGTGTCCTCATTGGCCTGGGAGTTTTATTTCTGTTTGCAGTTGTGAGCTGGCAATTCCTCTGTTAGTCAAATAAATTGTGCTTCTCTGCTTGCATGTAATTTGCAATTGAGAGAGAGAGAGAGCATGCCTGCCCACTTTATGATCTCTGGGATGAAGGAGTTGGGTGGCCCAAAAACACGTTCCTCCTCCTTCTCTGAGCTCCTCTCAAGGAATCTGGTGGTGGTGGGGGGGGATAATATGAAAGTGTCCCCACTGTAAATGTAAAACACTAGCAAGCAACTTTAAACTATCATAGCCTTTCCCCCAAAGAATCCTGGGAACTGTAGTTTGTTGTTTGGTGCTGAGAGGCCCTAACAGAACTATTTGTCTCACAAAACTTCAATTCTCAGTGTGGTTTAATGGTCAGTCCTTCTTCTCAGGGAACTGTAGCTCTGTGAGGGGGATAGGGGGTCTCCCAACAATGCTCCCCACCCTTAACACTACAGTTCCCAGGATTCTTTGGGGAAAGCCATGGCTGCTTAAAGTGGTGTGATACCACTTTACATCTAGAGTGCAGATGGGGCCCATCGTCTTGTGAGATAGTTTTATAGTGACAAGTGCTGGGGAAATGATGCTTTGCCAAAAAGCATCACATTCACATTCACATTCACGTTCACATGCACACACACACACACACACACACACACACACATGAATTGTGTCCCAAAGGTGAAACACACTGAAAAAACACAGCCATGGTTTGCGTGAAGCAAGCAAAAAAATATGTCAGTATCTTTTTCTCTTTCTGGCTGACTCTAAATGCTCTCAAGGAATAGCAAGGGAACCAGTTCATGCAGTCCCAATTTATGTATTGATGGTGAGAAAGCAGAATGAAGTTCTTCTGCCTTGGCAACCCCACCAATATTGGAGGGGTGGTGGTGGGGGGCGCACAGTGGCAGCGAGGGTAGCATCCTGCTGACCCAGAAGGCATCCTCCTCAGCTGTGTGTCTTCCCTTTGATTTTTAAATGGGGCTCCCAGGGCACAAGGTGGAGGTCGTCTCCAGCACCTTTTAATTGCCTGCTCTGCCGGCAATGAGCTTAAGATGTTTTTATTCCTTAGTGCTGAACACTCTTAAGGTCTATTCTTGGATAGCTTTTTCTGGAGAGTTATTGATTGTGTGGCGTCGGTGGTTGTTCTCAGAATGGCCTGCAGTCAGTGAGAGCCGTTTCCTCATGGACATCCAATGAGGATGGAGGATTCAGGACAGAAAGGCCTTCCTTGTGCAGTGCATAGTGGAACTCGCTCCCATCAGAGGCAGTGATGGCCCCCAACTAGGAGGGCCTTAAAAGAGGATCGGCCACATGGGCTGTCCTCTGCCTCCACAGTCTGAATGCCAGTTGCTGGAAGCCTGGCCCCTGGCTGCCCACGGTGAGAACAGGAGGCTGGACGGCATGGATCCCACAGCCAAGCACTTCCTATGTTCTGCCTCCACTGGTGGAGCCAGGATACCTCTGAAGACCACTTACTGGGAATTGCAATTGGGGAGAGTCCTAATGGTGGGCTTCCCATGGGGGCCTCTGGGTGGCTGGACTACAGGGGCCCCCATTTGGCTTGATCCCACACCCAGTCTTCTTACCCTCTCCCTCTCCTGTTAAAGAAGGCATGCATACCCCTGAATACCCCTTACAGGGAATTGCAAGTGGGAGAGCGCTGGTGTGCCCTGGCCTTGCTTGTGGGCCTCTGGGTGGCTGCTGTGAGAACAGGATGCTGGACTATGTGGGCCATTGACTCTTCTGAGGTTCTCCGCCACCTCCTCACTTAATTTTTGTAAAAGCAGAGCCCCCTCCCGCAACCTGGTGCCTCCGCATGGTGCTGGGTTACGACTCCTACCTTCCCACCACCCAGCGACACAAGTTGGGGCATTACAACTTGTGTGGGCGTTACAAGCCATTTCCTCTGTTGGATGGTCAACAGAACACAGAATTGTTGGTGACGTTGATGCGAATCTACATCTCTTCTGATTAGGAGAATTGCAGTATCTTATTCTGTAAATAGGTTAGAAATTGTTTGACCAACTAAAAACTTCCATTGGAAGGCAGGTTGAGAAAACACACTTATATATGAGTTGCTCTTTTTTAAAAAAAATGTAGAGGGCAAACATGTCTGTGAGAAGGGAGCCAATGTGGTGCAAGGTTAGAGTGTGGGACTGGCGCCTGGGATTCATAGCCCAGCTTGGACATGAAGCGCACTGGGCCTGTCACTGCTTTTCTCAGCCTTCCCTGCCTCGCAGGGTTGTTGTGAAGACAAAAGAGGGAGAAAGTTGCGTATGCCACTTTGAGCTTCTTAAAGAAGGCTGTGAGGCGTGGAAGCTGCTCCCTGCAAGGCCCTTTCCACCTGGCCTAGGGGGCAGGGCCAGACTCCCCCAGCCCTACTGTGCTAAGTTTGCATTCTGTAGTTGACCTCCTTTGTAATGCTTTATTTTGAAATCTTTAAGATAATATTTTAGTTTTCTGTTATGTTGCTTTGACTGTATACTCTATATTTGACTTTCTTCAGATTGCTTTAATTATGTTTTATTGATTTAAAACATAAATGCTTTGAGATTTTTCTTAAAATATA